CCCAACACGCGGCAATGAGATTCACACCCGCTGCCCCCCTCCCTGGTTAAGCGTCTCTACCTAAGGACAGTCACTCGCTAGGGAAGCTGACCCACCTGGGGCATCTCACGGCGGCTTTCCTATATGCATCCTTGCACACACTTGTGCCCTACACCCGCGCATCCCCTAGATACACGCACACCCACACCCACTCCCCCAGGGCCTTCCCGGAGGCCCTCCAGCCCCTGTGCTGCGGTCTCCACACTCAGGTGTGCGGCCCAGCCCTGCGTGCCCGGCCGCCCCTGCACACGTGCCCCTGCACACGGACATCCCAGGCCGCTTTCTGTCTCGCAGGGCAGGATGCTGGAAGGCCCCCACATTTGGGGCCCATTGCTGGCTGGTGGCACTAACGAAACAGAAACTGTGACTTGGGGAAAGGGGTCCAGGAAGCCCACCCGAGATCAACCCTCCTAGGATACACCCATCTCTCTAGGCCACTTCCCGCAGAAAGCGCCCAGGGAGCTCCTGTTATCACCCAGCCTTACAGGATTAACTTTTTGCCCCTTCCGACCCTCCTTCCGTTCTCTCCTTCCTCCTCCTCTTCTCTCTTTCTGAACTTTCTTCTCCTTCCTTCTTCCCTCGCTTCATCTTCCTTTCGGTTTTGAGTCCCTCCTGTGCCCCAACTCTCTCCACGCTCCCGTCCCCCTTGCTCCCCCCAACTTTCCTTCAAGCTCCGCGTCATTCAGCACCTCCTGTCCTCTTCCTTCCACCCCCAGCCCCTAACCCCGAGCCTGAGCCTGAACCGGACTCCGCCGGCTCAGCTGCCTTCTCACCTGAGGGCACCGTGCTGCGGTCACAGTGCCCATCCTTCAGCAGCCGGTCTCGGATCTCCCAGCTGAACATGCCTGGGTTTTCCCTCTTGTACTCCTCGATCTTTTTCTCCACATCCGGAGTCGCCACCTGCTTCAGAGGTGGAGGTGGGAGAGCAGGAAAGATGGGGTGGGGGGAGGGAGATACTTTTAATATCAACCTCCCAAGAGCCCCAGGCCAGGCTGGTGGCTCTGGTTCCCATCCCCCCCCCCAACACCACCACCACCACCGCCCCCTTCTGAGATTGGCCTTATCCCTTCACAAAACCTGAGCCTGGTTCCCAGGAGGGCAGCTGACTGAGGGCCCAGGGAAGTGATAGGTAATAAAATAAAAAGCTAATTAGGACTCCTAGGATCTCCCTTTCACTATTTCAGGCAAGACAGAGGGGAGATTTTTCCCTGGTCTGGGATGATGATAGGGGATGGGGCAGACATAGGGACGGCCCAGGGATGACTCATGGGCCCCCAAGTCTTGGGCAACCTGGAACCTCAGTTATCTCCATCCACTAGAAATTCAAGTAAGGAGGGAGCTATCCGGGGGTGAGGACACTCTCCCCCTGAACTTTCACAGGAAGCGTACGGACTCCCCAGTGATACTGGATGATGGAGGGCATTGAGAGGGGGCTACGGCCAGGATCCCCCAACCGTGGGAAGGCCGACTGTCGGCTCGCAGCAAAGACACTCACTCTGGGCTTGCTGCCTCCGATGGCCCCAGGCCGGATGGACCCGGTCTCCTGGTAGCGGCAGAGAATCTTGGAGACACAGCCATGGGAGACACGCAGCTGGCGGGAGATGACACAGGGCCGGATGCCATGGTGGGCCATCTCCACTATCTTGTGGCGGATGTGGTTAGGCAGGGGTCGCCCGTTGATGAAGACCCCGCCAAGCTGATTGACCCGGCCTTGGCCAAGTGGTGTGGACACTGGAGAAGGGAGGGCAGATGGGGAAGGAGAGAGGCACAGGGTAAGGATGGGGAGGAGACACTGAGCACACCTCCCTGGCTGGTCTCATTCGAGCCCCAAGACCCCTGACAGAGGATCCCTGAATCCCCCTCCCACGTTTGGAGCCCAGGCAGTACAGAGGTCAGGCGAAAACCGTCATGAAGCTGAGAGAAGGTCCTGCAAGGATGGAGGGGGAGACACGGCTGGCTGCTACAGTCCCCCAGACGCCGCGTGCCCCTGCTCCTGTCACACCATGGGGAATGAGGACGAGGGATCTGATGCTTCTGAGGACGGGAGGGAGGGGACAGAGCCAAGAGGCTGATGGAGTCTTGGAGTCTCTGGGACCAATGTCCCCCCGGGATGCAGTATGGGCCACAGGTCTGCCTGCCTCTTAGAGAGGCCACTAGCGGGTGAGATGTGGCCCCTCTGGTCCGCTCCGTGCCCTAGGTGGTCAAGACTGATCCATTTTGGAGGGAGCCAGAAGGCGCTGGTTAATTACCAGTGTTTATTGCTCTGGCCTGGGCTGGCAGAGCCGTCCAACTTCTAACTGAACAGTCGAGGGACTGGCGACATGATGCCGTTGGTCCCTGCCTCTGGGGTCACCTGGCTGTCCCTTGAGGGACTCTCCTTGCTTCCAACCCCTCTCAAAGCTCTAATTTCGTTTTGGGGAGATCTGGGGAGATGCTCCAAGCTTCCAAATCAAATACTAGTTGGCTTCAGAAATCCATGAACTGTCCCCTGCAGGCTCTGAGAAGCTGGTACACAGATGGGCCAGAGTCCCCCCCCCCCTGGGGTGTGGGTGACTTTGGGAACCTGGGAGACAGACATCCCCGGCGGTCAGCCCCTGCTGTATGCTGGGGAGGGGAGAGCTCCTCAGAAGCCTTAATGCAAAGTGTACACAATTTCCTCCCAGAAGGTTGGGGGACACCCGGTGCACTAATCCGGCCTCGATCCCCCCAATTTGGGGACTCGGCGGCTGCGGAGATCTGGCAGATTAGAACGATTTCACAGCCGCCCGAGTGGAGGGAGCTGCCGGTATAATTGGAAGGGAGGAGGCGAGAAGAGGCTCGGCTGTTCCTACCGCCTCCTTCCTCGCGCTCCCGGTCCCCCCCCCCCACCTCTCTTTGCAAAAGTAGGAGTCTGAAGCCACCCTCGGATTTAATCAGAAATCGTGCGTCGCCAAGTCAGAGTCACTCGGTCTCCGTGGCGGAATATGCCATTAGCACTGGAGAGCTCTCGAGCGCCCAACTTTATATTCAAGAGCCTCTTTAGCGACCGGCGCTCGGCTCTCCTCAGTATTCTCCGTCATGTTGGGCAAATATTGTTCTAATCCGCTGCGCGTCCTCGGCCGCCTGTTTCACTTGCATTCGCTACAGGAGAGTGTTACGGCAAATCCCCGGGCTTGTGCGCTCTCCCGCCTGCGTGGCTGCTCGCGCGCACTTGATCACGGAGCCACTCTCTTCGCCTCTGTCTAATGCAGGGACCCGCGCCCGGCCCGCTGCCGGAGGGACCCCTCCCTCCCCAGATCGCAGGCTGCCTGCCCGTCCATCCCCTCCCCGCCTCCTTTCCCCTTCCTCGCGCACAAGGGGGCTCATACAATTACCAGAAGAGTAATTAAAAAATGAAAGTGGTGTCCCGTGTGACACCGTGGCTACCTGCCCCCAGAAGCCCAGCGATCCCTCGGTTGACAGGTTGAAGGCCTTCCATCCGTTTAGAAAGGAAGCAACACAACACAAAACCAAGCCAAAAAAAAAAAACAAAAAAACAAAAAAACCCGCAGGAAAGGGTCTCGGCAGCCCGCTCGCACCCTTTTCTGGAGCCGGGAACCGTCCACGGTGCGTCTTTCCCTGCTCGCCCCGGCGCTGGATATTTCTTTAGGGAGGACGCATTACAGAATCGCGCACTTTCCCCGTCCCGGGGTCCCCTCCCAGGAGTGTTCCAGAGTTCCGAAGCCCAAGTGAAAAGTTGTGGGGGTGGGGCCGGGGGAAATCGTTGCTATCGATTATGTCGCATTAGTTTGTTTCCAGACCCCAAGAGCAGGAGTTTCTGACTGTTGCTTTGGAAGAAGCGGAGAACCTTCCTGGTTTGGACACACACACACTATCCACATGCTGTCGGCATTTCGAAATAAAAGGGGTTTTGGAAGACCATCCCAGCAGTGGGGAAAACAAACAAACAAAAAGGAACAATTCGGACGAGGAGTAGGACGCGCTTGCAGGGGCGAACGCAGGAGAGCTGCGAGAAACTATAGGGGGTGGGGGGGGAGGGAAGTATCTGAAAATAGTGGAACGAGCTGAAATTCACGAAGAGCTGGCTTTTCCTAGGGGCCGAAATCTGCCCCGGGTTCCGCCCGGCGGAGGAAGGCCAGGGCCCGCGCGACCTGTGAGGCCGGGCCGCCGGCCACCGAAAGCCACGCAGAAACGGACAAGTGTCGGCCCCGGAAACTTCCGGGGTCCAGCGCCCGGACTCCGTCCCAGATGAGACGGGGAGCGCGCCCCCCCTCCTCCCGCCCCGCTGCCGCTGGCGCCGCCGCCACCCCTGGAGATGGCTGCGTCTCCGCGGACCCCGGGCTCCCGGCGGAGGCGCGGAGGCGCTCTTACCTTCCAGAGGAAAGCCGGTGCGCGGGTAGTTCTGCCCGGGCGCCGGCCGCATCATCCTGGGGACGGTGCCGGGAAGGGCCGCCATTCTTGCGCACGCCGGGGACGAGTCCAGAGTCGGCAAAAATCGCTGCCCGTCCGCTCTCTTCACCCCCGCTGCGCGCTCTTTCTTTCCTTCTTCTGCCACTTCGCTTTTTTTAACCTCTTCCCCCTCCTCCCCTCTCCGCACGCGCTCCCTGCCCCCACCCCCACCCCCGGCTGCAGCCGTTCGCGTCCAGAAGCTGGGGAGGGGGGCGAGGTGGGGGGCGGAGGTTGGTGGAGGGGGCGGTCGGGAGTGGGGGGGGGGAAGGTGGCGACAGGGAAGTTCAAACAAACAAACA